CGCTGCAGAGGCTGTGGAGAGCTTCATAGGCTGTGTGCCAACCCTGGTCACCAGGGAGGCCCCCCTTTGTCCATTTTTAATTGAGTCATCAGTTGGTTTCTCGCATTGTTTGGGGATGTTATAAATTTTGGAATGAACCCCTTGTCACATGTGTGGCATGCAGATTCTTTTTCTGTTCTGTAGACTGCCTTTCAGTTTTTGGGCTGGTTTCTTTTAAGGTATGAAAGCTTTTAGGTTTAGTGGTGTCCCACTTGTTGATTTTTGCTTTTGTTTCCCTGGGTGTTGGGGTTGTGTTCCCTAGTGCACTTTGGGGCAACTGTCCTTAGTGTGTCCCTATATTTTCTGTCAAGTACATCACCAAATATTTAATCCATTTGGAATTTTATAGATTGATTTATTTATCCATATAAGAGCTGGGGTACAGGCCAGACATGTGGTGGGTGAGAGGATTGACCAGAGACAGAGTGGGGAACAAAACAGGCAGATCTGGTGAAATACACTACTAAGGGGAACAGCAAGGAGACAGGAGAGGTCAGGTGTGCAGTGTGGGTGAGTTCCCTGACTTGGGATCGAACTCATGCTGCAGGGGCTGTGGATAGCTTCATAGTGCTTTGACTTAACCCTTGCTTCACCAGGGAGACTCCATGTTGCTGTATTAAGTCGGTTGGAATTTGTTGAGGATTTTCGCTTCTCTGTTCTTTGGTGGTGTTGGTCTATTTTTCCCTTTTATGCTGTCTTTTTTTGGGGGGGATCAGGGCAATGTTGACCTCGTCGTATGTGTTGGTGAGTTTTCCTCCGTCTTCAGTGTTTTGGAAGATGCAAATTTCTTTGTGTTTGCTTCTGTCATGGTCTCTCTGATGATTTCTTTTCTGTGTCCCTGAATGCTTGAGTATCTTGTGCTCCTGAATGTAGCTAGTCCCTGTGTTCCGATCTGGTCTCCCGTCTTCAGTCTGCACTTCTCCTGAGTGAGTCAGTCAACTGTGTTTTGCCATTTCTGCCAGTTACACTTGAGCGTGGGCCTCCTGCCCAGGCCTAGTACCACAGGCTCGGCTCCCACCTGACTGCGCCTGTAGCCGTCCCGATGGCACCTGCTGCTCATGCAACATGCAAACCTCGTCCTGTGTTGTGCCCTCCCGTGTGGAATTAGATCCTTCTCAGCCCAGGTCTCCCGCCACCAGAAAGGGATTTCTCTGTTCCAGAGTTTAGTCTCACCCAATGCAAGTTACTCTTCAATATTACCTGATATCTTAATGGTTGCTAACAACAGCACCGCCGTGCGTGCATGCGTGTGTGTGTGTGTGTGTGTTCACTTTCTTTCACATTACAGTTCTCATTCTTGGCCAAACCTGATGGATGCGTTTTCTCAGTGATGAGGTTGCTCCCTTTTCTGCCTCCGACTGGCCAGGGTGTGGTGACACCTCAGAGTTCAGGGGGAGAAAGTACTCAGGGGTCAGTGGGACACGTTTGAACAAGGGTCATGACACTCGCTGAGTAAAACCAGGTAGTGCAGATGTTCATCATTTGACCTTTGGTTGTTGGGAGTTTATGTCAGTGATGCTCAATGTAGTTTTTAATAAAGAGCTTCAGGTTTCTGTCATCGAGTCTGGAGTATAGTAGGTGTGTTTGCATTTGTCATACGTATGATTCTTGCTGAAGTTACGGTTAATGGTAGATTTTTTTATTTTGATAGATGTTTATAGAATATTGATAGAATGAATATATTTTGCAACCTAATTTTACCAGCTCTTCTGTCACCTGTGACCATGCAAGTGTTTCATTTTATAAACTTTGCACTGTAGGGAGCAGCAGTGGCTGCTCTTCTGCCCAGCATGACTGTTGCTTCTTTTTCTCCTTTTCCTAGAAAACGTGGCCCTCCATTCATTCATTCATTCATTCATTCATTCATTCATATTTTAAAAGATGAACTTATTTATGCATACAAAAACTGAGGTATGGGCCAGAGGTGTGGGAGGGGGGAGGATTCTCCAGAGACAGAGTGGGGAGCAGAACAGGCAAATCTATTGAAATACACTGCTGAGGGGAGCAGTGGGCGAGTCAGGAGAGGTCTGCCACGCCATGTGGGTAGCTCTCTGGCTGGGGATTGAACTCGTGCTGCTGTGGCTGCGGGACAGCTCCATAGGTAGTGTCTTTACCTTTGAGCCACCAGGAAAGCCCCTGACCCTTTATTTAAATGTAAAATAAAAAGTCTCCTTTCGCTGTTATTGCATGTGGTGTTCTTTGGCTTTTAGTATCTGACAGTGTTATACAGCCATCACCACCTTCCAGATTTTTTCATTTCCCAGTAATAAAATACTGTACTCATTAAACTCTCGCTCCCAACTGCTCTGTCCCTCACCCCTGTGTCCACCATTTACTTTCTGTTTTCAAGAGTTTGACAACTCAGACCTGTATGAATGGAGTCTTATTACACCTTGTTTTCTTGGTGAATCTCTTATTTTATTGCATTGTTAACTGTTTTGTCATTTCATAGGTATCGTACAGGAGTGCATTCATATTGTAGTGTGTGTCATTGTTTAGTTCCATTGTGAGGCTCATTAATAATCTCTTATGTGTATTTACCAGTCTTATTTATCCATTAATCCATCACCTGGGGCTTGGGTTGATTTTGCTTTGGGCTGTAATGACTGGTGGTGCAGTGACCGTAGGTGAGCAAACGTCTCTGCCCGTCCCTGCTGTCCCTGCTATTGGTGAACACCCCGGGGTGGGGGTGGGTCCTCCTGTCATTCTGAGTTCCCTTTTCCCAAGAATCACCTTCCTGTCTTCCCTCCTGGCTGCATCATTTATGTTTGCCCCAACAGTGCGCAAGGGAGCCCGGTCCCAATTTTTGCCAGTACTTGTTCTTTTCTTTCTTTTTAAATCATTGCGATCCCAGCGGATGTAAAATCTCATCTCTTGTACTTCTGATTCATTTTTCCTTCGTGACTGATCGTATTGAGAACTTTCATGTGTTAGGACCCGCTTGGGTATGTGATTTGCAGAGCTGTGTATTCCAGTCCTTTACTCATGGCTGCACATTTCCATTTTGAACAGGGTCTAAAGCGCGAGGGGATTGTATTGTCCCATTTTGTTCATACGGTCCTTTTATGGCATCCTGAGCCCACTCCTGCTGGAGTTTCTGTGTGCAGAAATGAGCCATCCACCTTCTCTCTGCTGTTGTTTTATTTCTCGTATTAGTGTTTTAATCAATGAGCCTGTAAATAAATGCATTTTTGTTTTCCTAGAACTGGGATGTGCCAGGTTACCTTGCGAGAGTTGCTGTCAGTGCAGCAGGCTCATCGTGTCCTGGATGCTGTTGTGTCTTTGCATTTGTTTAATTCATTGTTTAACCCTCCGGGTTTCTTTATTCCAGCGAGTCTCTGCCCTTGGTTCCGCTACATGCATTGCTTACTGTTTTGTCATTTCACTGGCAGCGTACAGGAGCTCCTGTGTGTGTGAACACGGGTGTGTGTTACAGTCTGCTCACTGGGTTTTCCTTTCCAGAGTCGCTTTACTGTGGCTTTCATTAGTTTTCCAAGAATGAATTATAACTAGTTATGACCATTTTTATGTATGTTGTCTTTTTTGTTGTTGTTGTTACGTAGCGTCACCCAAACCCATTGTGAATAGGGGACACTGAGCGTCTTTGTTAGTCCTTCTCTCACTGGGAATGTTGATGTCGCCTGTGGCTGTCAAGGACTTGTTTTGTGTTGAGGAAAAATCCTCTGAATCCTTTTTTAGCTAATACAAATGGAAATTTATTTTAATGGGTTCCTATTTTATATGTATGTGGAGGTGCACAGGATTTACTACACAGGAAAGGAAATGATGGAATAAATTTACGGATTTCTTAAGATGTTTGTTTTCTTATACCGTGTATCTTATTTTTCAAAACTCTTTCATTGCTATGATCTATTTTTTTCTTTCTCCAAAAGAAATATTTGTCTCTTCTAGTTGTTTTTCCTCTTCTTTCAATACCTTTTGTTCTGGTCACCGTGTTCTCCCTTATGGTGATGAAAACTATCAATAATATCCTGGAGATTCCCAAATTCTTTCTTTTCTTTAATATTTATTTTATGTATGCATATAAATGCTCGGGTGTAGGCCACAGGTGCAGGGGTGAGAGGATTCACCAGAGACAGAGCGGGGAACAGAACAGGCAGACTGACTGAAATACACTGCTGAGGGGAACAGTGGGGAGATAGGAGATATCTGCTGCGCCTTGTGGATAGCTCCCTGGTTGGGGATCGAATTCATGCTGCAGCAGCTGCCGATAGCTTCATAGTGCTGAGACTTAAACTCTTGTGTCACCAGGGAGGTCATGATTCCCAAATTTCTGTTTTCAGCTTAGACTTCCTGATCTATCAGACACATGTCCAGTTGCGTGTGGAATTCCAGTGTCTACCAGCCCGTCATGCGGACAGCATATTATGAAAACATTCCTTGTACCTCAGCCACCAAGTTATTACCAAGTTCTTCTCCCCTTTGTCCTTCCATTTTATTTTATATATATTTTACATCATTTTTTATTTCTGCACAAGTTATGCATTTTCATCTTGGTTATAGTCCCCATACATCCCACCCCCCTTATTTTAACCCTAATCCCTCCACCCCCCATAGTGCATCTCTGGTTTATACTTGCTTGTAGTTGAACATCTCTTACCTGTGCTTTTTCCCACCTCATTGCTTGAACATCCTGGTTTCGGGTTCAGTTTTTGTTTACTGTGAGTTGGAGATACCAAGCTTTGAGGTCACAGGAGTAAAATATTGGCACAAAGTTGCACATGCTTTTCATTTGTTATGAAGCTCCTTTAGCACATGATTCCGGGTGTATGTCTGTTACACCTGCCAGCCAGGCTATCAGCTCCTCAAGGAGCCAATTTTATTCATCCTTTTATTCTTAGAATCATAGACACTTCCAAATATATAAGGTAAGCTATAGTTCTACTTGTAGGACCAAAGGGGTGAATGTAGAGGCGAGGCTCTTTCAACTGTGAATTCTATACAGGACCGAAGACCCACAAAATAAGATGTGATTGCACTTGCTCTGTCTGACCCAGGCTGCCGGCCCTGAGATGAGAAATGTTCCCTCAGAAGATGTGGCTGTGAACTTCACGTGGCAGGAGTGGCGGTACCTGAGTGAAGCTCAGAGGACCCTGTACCGGGATGTGATGCTGGAGACCTGCAATCACCTGGTGTCCCTAGGTGAGGAAGCTCCAGTGTAACACTCTAGTGCAATGCTGTCTTCTGCACCGATAAGTGTGCACTTGCTTATGAAACTGAGTGTTGGTGAGGTTGAACATGGCAGGCAGTGTACATTGTGGGTGTTTTGGTTTTCGTTTGGAAAGATTCAGATTGGCCTCTTTTGCACAGCTCTTCACACTGCATTTGTTAGTTTTCAAAGACTGAAGTTGAACTTGATCGAAGACCAACACTGTTTCTCATCACAGGGCACTGTGTTACCGATCCTGAGGAGAGCATCAGGTCGGAGCAGGGATTACAGCCGTGGACTGTGGACGATCCCCCAAACCAGGACCTCTCAGGTCAGTCAGTGCTTGCCAGGCCGGGAGGCTGAGAGGAGGCTGGGAGTGTGGCCAGTGATATTGGCCACACTGAGGTGCTTTTCCAGTGTCCAACCTTGGAGAGTGTGTCTGCATATATCAAACTGATTCTTTATTCAGTTCCCAAATATTACTCTCTTGTGAATTTTGTCCTGCTCTTTTAATGATGGTTGTCTATGTTCTTAAACCAGTATGCAGTCCCTGATACATGGGGATTATTCTGCAGTAATCACATTTCTATTCTCTCTCTTAGTGTATTCTCATAGACTGTTTTCTTTAGGTACCTGTTGAGGAATTTTTTTATTCTTTCTGTATGTTTATGGGAAGTTTAGCCAGTGGTAAATTTTCTGAGAGGGGAGAGCAACAGTACTCACAGAAATGATCTTTACATTCTGAAGTTATATACTCTGTGAGGAAAGAATATGTAATAAATACATTTATTAATAGAGAGGTAAAGCCACAGAGGATGTTTGACCAGCATGAGTGAAACAAAGTGGAGGATGTTGTTTTTGTGTGTGTTCCATACGCATCATTATAGAGATAATTCTTTTCTTTCAGAGCTCAGGTGAGGTGAATGGGTTGCACTGACATGTCATATCTATAGTTCCCTCTGCAGTCTGGGATAGAGGCTATGTATTGCTATTGGAGATGTCACTGAGCAGGTGACTAACTCAAAAGGGATAGAGAGGCGTTGACTGGAGAGTTATTTAGAACATGAGTAGTGTTTCAGGGGCAAGCCTTGTGACCGCCCTCATAGTAATTGTGAGGCTGAGGAGGACCCAGAATTGTTCAGCGTTGGAAGGGATGTTCTGTGACATGGGAGGGGGAACCTGAGGTGGTGGTTTCTAAAGCCATGGCACCAAGAGTTTCAGGTTGGGGGCTCATACCTTGGGGAGCAGTGTGACCTGTGCAATTCCACCTTCTCGTGGGAATCGTTGGGAGGAAAGTAAAGGAATCGACGACAGTGTGATGTAGCTGAGAGTCACACACGACATAAAAACTGGAGCTGCTATGAACAAAGCAGAAACACAGGTTCCAGGGAGTGCGTTGAGAACACCAGGGTGTTGCTCTCAGAAGGATGTGAGAAAAGACTTTAACGCTGATAGCACAGGATGGATGCAGAACTTTTTTCCTATCGCTTAGCAGGAACGTGGGACACAATGATTAGGTGGAGTTTGCTGCATGTATTAGGATTCTGAGCCTTATGTGATATGATATTTAAATATGAACTGACTGGTCTCTTCCGTGGAGGGAAGCACATGCCTCTGAGAACCTCTGCAGGTGACTGTGACCGTGGCCCGGGCCAGAGTCGAAAGAAGAACTAAGGAAATGGAGAAGCAGAGTCCTTGTGTCTCAGCAGGCCTCTTGCTTAAAGTGCCTGGGCAATGACTGGGTCTCTCAGTCCACAGGTTTCTGGGAAAGCCATGGCCTCTGCAGGGCTTGGTTATTCAGAAAGTACCCTCAAGAGCTGCACAGGGTCAGTCTAAGAAAGAAAGTGTGTAGGATCTATGTTGGGTGAAATGCTTCTGGTTGAAATCGACAACTCTAGTTAAAAGACTATATTTACCAAATATTTATGATTTTATAAAACCATTGTGAAATTAGATTTACTGCTTTGTTATCCTGGTTTGGCATTAGAAAATCTGTTAATTGGGGCCTCCCTGGAGGCCTAGGGATTAAGTCTCTTAGCTCTCACTATTATGGCCTGAGTTTGATCCACAGTGAAGGAGTTCACCGACTTTGGCACAGCAAACCTCTCCTGTCTCACCCGCAACTCCCCTCAACAGTGTATTTCAGTCAGTCCGCCTGTTCTGGTCAACACACTCCCCTACAGCACGCTCCCCTACAGCACCCCCACTCCTGCACCTCTGGCCTACACCCCAGATCTCCTATGCTAAAGTAAAAAATACCAAAAAATCTATTCTCCCCATAATTTACTATGGGCAAAAAGCATGAATCAGAAAATCAATACCTGTAAATTATGTTGTAATATAGGAACTTTCGTGCCGCTTAGTAGTATTCACTCAGAATGCTTACTTTTTAGAGACATGGTCATTTTTATCTCACTTTAGATGTCCATACTGTGGATCACCTGACTCAGGACAGCCCTGCAAATCAGGGCAGACATGTGTGGCAAGTTCTTACCACCAACAGCAAAATACCATCCAACGAGAGAACTGACTTAATGGAAGAAAGCAATTTGCAATCAAGTCATTATTTGAACCATAGTATCAAAAATGAAAACAATTCAGCGATGATGCCTAAGAACTTTACTATACATAGGACCATGATGATCCCTGGTGAGCCTCATGAAGGGCATGCTGGAGAGAACGAGGAGGTCTTTAGTAGAATGAGGGAACCCATCAAGTATCCTGAGCACCTTAGTCACCAGGTGATTCAGAACTTTCAACAGCCTTTTGAATTTCGTGAACAAGGAAAAGTCGTGAGTGAAGAAACAGTATTTACACCTAGAGGAGCCCTTCTGGAAGGGATTGTCCGTAAATGCAATGAGTGCAGGGACACCCGTGATGAGGTACCTTTCGTTGTCCGAGACAGAACCCAAGGAGGACAGACTCGCTGCAGTTGTAATGAAAAGGGGAGAGCTGCGGAGATGACTCCAGTGCATTTGAATCCTCCTAGGTATGTTGAACATGAGCAGCAGAAATGTTGTGAAAGTGGGGCCAGTCTCAGAAACACATTTCACGCCTATCCGCGTGAGAGTACCCAGTTAGGAAAGAATAATTTGGGATATAAGAGATATGGTGAAGCGGCCTCTAAAACCTCTGTTCTGACTGAACATCAGAAAACACAAGCAGACGATCAACCTGATGAGTGTGGGGGCACCGCTGAGATTTCCTTACAGAGGGGATACCAGAGAAATCTCACTGCTGTGAAGTTGTTTGGCTCTAACGATTATGTGAAAACTTACTCATGGAAGACTGCCCTCACTTTACATCCACAGTCTCAAACGGGAGTGAAGCGCTACCCGTGTCAGGTGTGTAAGAAAACTTTCAGGCGGAAACCTGCTTTTAGTGTCCATCAGAGAACTCATACAAGGGAGAAATCCTATGAATGTCAGGCGTGAAGCAAAGTGTTCTCCCGTAAGTCACTTCTTGTTCTACATGAGAGGACTCACACTGGAGAGAAATGCTATGAATGTGAAGGGTGTGGGAAAGCTTTTTCCAGGAAGTCTCACCTTACTGAGCATCAGAGAATTCACACTGGAGAGAAGCCTTACGAATGTCAAGAGTGTAGGAAGACTTTCCTCTGGAAATCATCCCTCAGTAAACATCAGAGAATTCACATTGGAGAGAAATGCTATGAATGTGAAGGGTGTGAGAAAGCTTTTTCTAGTAAGGCACACCTTATTAGACATCAGAGAATTCACACTGGAGAGAAACCCTATGAATGTGAAGGGTGTGGGAAAGCTTTTTCCAGTAAGTGTTACCTCAGTGAGCATCAGAGAATTCACAGTGGAGAGAAGCCTTATGAATGTCAAGAGTGTAGTAAGACTTTCTGATGGAAATCATCCCTCAATAAACATCAGAGAATTCACACTGGAGAGGAACCCTATTATTGTGAAGAGTGTGGGAAAGCTTTTTCTAGTAAGTCATCCCTCAGTCTCCATCAGAGAAGTCACACTGGAGAGAAACCCTATGAATGTGAAGGGTGTGGGAAAGCTTTTTCCAGTAAGTGTTACCTCAGTGAGCATCAGAGAATTCACACTGGATAGAAGCCTTATGAATGTCAAGAGTGTAGGAAGACTTTCCTCTGGAAATCATCCTTCAGTAAACATCAGAGAATTCAGAGTGGATAGAAACCCTATTATTGTGATGAGTGTGGGAAAGCTTTTTCTAGTAAGTCATCCTCAGTACACATCAGAGAAGTCACACTGGAGAGAAACCCTATGAGTGTGAAAGGTGGGAAAGCTTTTCCAGTAAGTCAACCTCATTAGACATCAGAGAAGTCACAGTGGAGAGAAGCCTTATGAGTGTCAAGAGTGTGGGAAAACTTTTTCCAGTAAGCAAGCTCTCACTGGACATCAGAGATGTCACTGGACAAAATCCCTATGATTGTGAAGAGTGGAAAACTTTTCAGGAAGTCAGCCCTCACTAGGCATGACAAACTCCACACTGGAGGGAAATGCTATGAATGTCAAGAGTGTGCAGGCAGGCTTCCCCTGGTGGTGCAGGTGGTTGAGTGCAGTGCTGTGAAGCTGTCCGTGGCCTTTGCGGTGGGAGTTTGATTCCCTGGCCGGCCAGGAGCAGCCCCATGGTGCGGCAGACCTCTCCTGTCTTGCCTGCTGCGTGTATTTCAGCAGTGTATTTCGGTCAGTCTGCCTGTTCTGTTCCCCGCTCTGTCTCTGGTGCATCCTCTCACCCTCCCACACATCTGGCCTGTACCCTGGTTCTTGTATGCTTGAATAAATAAAAATCTTTTAAAAATATTCAAACTTAGGAGCTCAAACCACATCATGCAGCTGAGAGCAATGGGAACTGACATACAGTTTCAATCCTAATTGCGTGGAGTTACCTGGTTCACTCTGTTCTCCCGAGTTCATGCAGTGATGATGTCGCTGTTCCTGTTGCTGTTGCTTCTAGTATCCTCTTAAGTTCCTGGGTGATGCTATGCCTGTCCACAGCAGCTGTCTGTCTACATGGCACATTGCATGTTGCGTGGGTAAGTGATCTCTCTGGGTTTTCTAACTTAGTCGTCACATTCTGTCCAGTACTCTAAGTCTCTGTGGTGCCCCCCGTATGCTGGAATTGCTCACCACCAAAATGTCCTCCTCTAGAAGGAAATGTTGAACTGTGTGCTATCGGCTATAGGTTGAGGTCTGCAGCTGTCTTTACCTACCTTTCATGATGAAGGTTTTTCGGGGCCTCCCTGGTGGCCTCGGGGTTAAGTCTCAGTGCTATTGCCTGCTCTGGCCAGGGTTTCAGCCCTAGCTAGGGAGCCGCCCCACATATGGCCACAGCAGGCCTCTCCTGTGTCACCCGCTGCTCCATTAGCCAGGTATTTCAGTGGTTCTGCCTGTTTGTCACCACACTCAGTATCTGGTGAATCCTCTCACCCCCGAACCTCTGGTCTACACCCCAGTTCTACAAAATAAGGGAATTTTATTGGAAGATTAATTCTGCATACAAGATCTGGGGTGCAAGCCGGAGGTATGAGGGGGTGAGAGGATTCTCCACAGAGAGAGTGGGGTGCACAACAGGCGGATCTACTGAAATCCACTGCTGAGGGGGGCAGTGGGGACACAGGAGAGGTCTACTGTGCCCGTGGGTAACCTACCTGTCCAGGGATCGAACTCTTGTCTGCAGTACTGAGAACAGCTTCATAGTGCTGAGACTTCACCCCTTCACCAAGAGAGGCCCCTGAAATTTTTTTAAAGAAAAAGGATTCTTGCTTGTTAATTTTTTTTTATTAAATTGTTCATCTTTGTGCAATATTGGATTGCTCCCCTTCTGTATAATTCTTGCAAATGTCCTGTCCGCACCGCCCCTGTGACCCATCACCCCAAGCCCTGGTGCGCCTCCTCCCCTCCTGGCCCCTCTTCTGCCCCATCCCCTGCTGGCGTCTCAGCTCTGTCATCTGCCTGCTAGTTTTGTCTTTTTCCCCTGACCCTTTCTTCGTTCCCCTGTATTCCTCCTGGCGGTGATGATGTAATCCACGTCTTTTTCCTTCACTCTTTGTTCAGAACATAATCCCTTCCGCTGTTGCTGGCCATGCCCTGAATGTGGTCTTTGTCTGAGTCAGTTCATAGCTTGGGGTGAGTGGTCGGTGTGTTAGGTGGTGGCCGAGGAAGTCCTTGATGTAACTCTCGCTACCACTCCCCCTCAGGGCCCGGGCACCTTCTGGTGTGTTTCTTTGGCTCCGTGGTGATGCCAAGCGGAGAGTTTGTGCAGCAGGCCCGGAGTCTGAGGCCTCGGGTGTGCTCTTCCTCATTTCTTGTGTTTGGTGCGAAAGTACTTCCAAGTGGAGCCCAGAGTTCCAGAAGAGCCAGACATTTACTCACAGGAGTAAGGACAAGAAAGCTCCCTGAGCAGAACGGTCCCGAGGGGTGGCCACTGGGGCCGAGAAGCAGGGCCTTCCACGGCTGTGGCGGGCAGGGAGGGGTGCTGGTCGTGGGGGTCTCTGTGGTGTGTCTCTTGACGAGGGGCTTGGCCTGAGGTCTCTCCCGAGGCTCCGAGGCCCGCTGAGTTTGCCCCCGTTACTCGCCTGCATGTCCACACCTAGCCTCGGTCTGTGGATTTGCAGTCGTGCCCTGTGTCGGCTCCACGGCGTCCTCTCCACAGGGCTGGGCTCGGGGCCCGTCCATCGGGGATTGTTTCTCTGATCATGGATTTGGGACTTGGGCGCCTGCTCCTCCCTGCCCGCGCCCTCTACGCAGCTTCCTCCGTCAGGAACATCTCTACGGCCAGAGCCCCCGTCCTGTGTTTCCAGGTCGGTGACTGATGGGGTGTCTGTCCCCTGAGAGCATCTTCCCTGATTCAGGGGGAGGTACATTGGTCCCTTCAAACTCCACCTGGAGTGTCGGGGCCACGGGCCATATTCCTCAACGCACCGTGGGAGGTTGCTGAGGTTTTCACCCCTAGGCCGCAGGCCGCTTTCCACGATGCTGCAGGCTCCTAGGTGTCCTTGAGCGCCCATTAAAGGTGGCATCCGTCCCCTCAGCCTTCACCTCAGACCTGGTCCAAAGAGGCCTGCAGGGTTTGCTAAGACAATGCTCCTCTGCTAGTGCCACATTCCCTGGAAGTGTCTGTTGGTGTGACGTGACCCATGTGGGCTGTTGCAGCAAGGGTCACTCTCTGCTCTGAAGGTGAGGGGTTCAGGGGACTCGTGTCACGTCCCCCTACAGGTGTGTTGGGGCGTCCAGGTGTGGGGCAGGTGAGGCCTCTGTGGATGGGTGGGCAGCCCAGGTGGGTGGTGATGCTGTCAGCGGTGGCCCAGGAGAGGCCTCCACCGTGCTCCATGGGGACCTTGCCCAGCTCAGCCGCATCCCGGGGTCAGGACGCGCAGCATCAGCACAGCCCAGAGACACTGTCCACGCTCCAGCGGTGAGGACACTACAGGAGCCTGATCTCCAGGGACAGGGAGTGGACCAGGGCAGGGGAGCAATCCCCAGAGATGAGTGGGGAGCAGGACAGGCAGATCCATTGAAATCCACTGCTGAGGGGAGCTGGGGAGACAGGAGAGGTGCTGCGCCCTGTGGTTCAGCTCCCTGGCTGGGGATGGAGCTCTTGCTGCAGTGGCTGTGGACAGCTTCATGGTCTGAGACTTACGGAGCAGGGAGGCTATGGGTCCATTCTTGTGTGGGGCGCTTATCCTTCGGATATGGGGACAAGAGGTGTGTGCTACTTGCAGGTCTGTGCCATCTCCCTTGGTCGCCCCCACCCCTAAGTTCATCCCCTGGATGAAAGGGAGTGTACCCATAAGATACCAAGGTGGATGGCCGGTCTTGGGCTGTGAGGTTCTCTTTCTCTGGAGAAGCAGAACTGCTCGGGAAGAACATGTTCGTCTTGGTAATGTAGCCAGGCTAGAAGACAAAGAATAGTTTGACTTTTAACCCTTTGCACTCCGAACCATTCTGGACATTGGCTACCAGCTACTCGATGCTACTTTGTGGCGGAAATGTGCATTTACAGACCCTCGTATTATTTAGTATAATTTTGGAACCAAGTAACATATTATAATGATATTGGACTTATATGAATTGGGTGACATCGAGGAATGTATATGTCCAAAAAAAACCAATATTTTATTGTTTATAATTTTGTACAGTATGATAAATTTTGTAACACTCCCCAATATGCACTGCAGGCTGATTAGTGGAGCTCATCTTTACTACTACTTGTGTCATGAGACTCATTCGTGGTTGGACGCTTTGCCATTGTTCTAATAAAAATATAAATAAATGCATGGGTTGAAAGTTTCTAATTGTTATTACTAACTGACAAGATGATATTTACCAAAATAGCTTTCACCAAACAATTTATTCACTAAGAAAAGAATCTCTTTTCTGATTTTCTCCTCATTAGATCTATGTGCACTGCTCGAAGCTTCAAACCAAAATGAGCTCAGATTTGAAAATCTTTTCCTCCAGATGTAGATTTGTTTATTTTTAATTATATATTTCACTACACAGTGCGCACTATGTTTGAAAACCGACCTTTCTTCTACAAACTCCCCTTACGCTCTTTTCAAGTGGGGTTGCAAAGTGCTCGGACCGTCGTGAGCACACATCTCACATTCTCGTCCGACACAAAACCCGCTGACATTTCTTGTATATATCTTAGTAATTTTACGATATTTTGATTTAATTTCTTGTG